CTACCGATTGAGGAACCCCTTGTGGCTGAAGGAGAAGGACAATGTTCCACTTAAGTGGGACCATCACCAACCCAAGACCCACACACTTCTGAAGAACAAAATGAAGGCCTTCAATAAAATAAACAAGATCAAGGGCAAGATCAACCTCAAGATGGTGGTAAACCACCAAGTGATGCCCAAGGCCAAGTTCTCACCACCAAGAAAGTTCAAGATCAAGAGCAAGCTCAAGATCAAGAACAAGCTCAAGACGACGCTCAATATGATCAAGTTACCGCTCCTCAACTCTCTCTCTCTTGAGGAGGAACTGGAGCGTTGTGCTGCCAAGATTGCATTCAAGCTCACTACCAAAGATCATCTCATGACGCATGTTCTTGGAAGCTTAAGAAAGGGGGTAAGCACTCATAGACTATTAGCAAACTATTGTGAACATCACGCGTTTGTCTCTTGTGTTGAACCCCAAAAGGTCTATGAGGTGCTCGAGGATCCGGATTGGCTCAATGCCATGCATGAAGAACTCAAAAACTTCGAGCACAACAAGGTGTGGAGATTAGTGCCAAGGCCAACGGGGAACCATAATGTCATTGCAACCAAGTGGATATTCAAGAACAGGCAAGATGCTCATGGAATTATCGTTCGCAATAAGGCTCGTTTGGTAGCACAAGGCTACTCCCAAGTCGAGGGTATCGACTATGGTGAAACCTTCGCTCCCGTTGCTCTCCTTGAATCTATTCGCTTGTTGATTGCTTATGTTTCTCATCATAACTTCAAGTTGCAACAAATGGATGTGAAGAGTGCTTTTCTTAATGGTCCTATTAATGAGTTGGTCTATGTCAAACAACCCCCGGGGTTTGAGGATACCGAGTTCCCCAATCATGTGTACCAACTCGATAAGGCACACTATGGCCTTAAACAAGCTCCACGTGCATGGTATGAGCACCTTACCGAGTTGTTGCAAGATCGTGGGTTTGAAATTGGGAAAATCGACCCCGCTCTTTTTACTAAGAAGGTCAAAGGGGAGTTGTTTGTATGCCAACTATATGTTGATAATATTATTTTTGGTTCCCCTAACAAAGCTTTCAATGAGGAATTTGCCACTCTCATGACCTCAAAGTTCAAGATGTCCATGATGGGAGAGTTGAAGTTCTTTCTCGGGTTTGAAATCAAGCAAAGAAGAGAAGGAACCTTCATCAACCAAGCCAAATACACTCAAGACATGCTCAAGAGATTCAAGCTAAGTGATGTCAAGCCGGCTTCCACTCCAATGCCCGTCAATGCCAACTTGACATAGATCCCAATGGTAAAGTGGTGGATCAAAAGGTATATCGCTCCATGATTGGCTCCTTGCTTTACCTTTGTGCATCTAGACCGAATATCATGTTGAGTGTGGGAATTTCTGCACGGTTTCAAGCTGCACCTAAGGAAAGCCACTATGTGGCCGTCAAGCGAATATTTCGATATTTGGCTCATACCCCAAACTTTGGCTTATGGTACCCAAGAGGAGCAAACTTTAACCTTGTGGGCTTTTCGGACTCGGATTGGACGGGAGACAAAGTGGATAGGAAGTCAACTTTCGGAGGGTGCTAATTTCTTGATTGCTCTTTGGTGAGTTGGTCTTCTAAGAAGCAAACTTATGTGTCTCTCTCGTCCACCAAAGCGGAGTATGTGGCCGCTGATAATTGTTGTGCTCAACTTCTATGGATGAGGCAAACCTTAAAGGATTACAGTGTCATTTGTGACAAAATGCCTCTTTGATGTGATAATGAAAGTGTCATCAAGATTTCTCTCAACCCGGTACAACACTTCAAGACAAAGCATATAGAGATTCTGTATTACTTCATCCGGGATCACATTAGGTGAGAGAAGATCGAGCTCAACTATGTCAACACTCATGATAACCTTGCTGAGCATGATGATGTCTTTGTAATAAGGCAGTCAAGTTTCAAAGAAATTGTAGCGACTACAGCTTGGTACTTATGGTGGGAATGCATGAAATTCCTTCATGGTGAACAATGCCAATCAACTTTGTAAGTATGTTTAGCTGTGAAAGCTCTTGATGCAGTCTTTTGTCTACCCTGCTCCCCGAAGACTATGGTTATAATTGGGGGTTGGATGAAATCAGGACAAGATTATGTGAAGCTAAATATGGATGCGGCTTTTGATGCAGACTTGTTACAAAGGGCAGTCAATACAGTATTGAGGGTTTCAAATGAAAAATTTATCGCATACGATGTTTCATAGCAAAGGCCTTAGCACTCAGGTTTGACATGACTTGACACAGAGAGTTGGTAGTAATAAAATTAAGATCTAACTTAGATAATATATATATACATCTGGGCTATTCTGTTACTAGTACTAGAATATTATTCTGTTACCCTTTTTGAACTAACGGTTTCAGGTGGTTGAACTGATGTTTTCGAAACGGTTGAACTGATGCTTTCAGTTGTGTTTAACACATCGTCTTCTTTAGTTCAAAAACTTTTTGTAATTTTTTTGTTGAAACGTGGCGTGTAATATATCGTTGGAAAGTTCTTGACAACCATATTTCAAGTATATTGAACGTTTTTGCAAAATCATTATGGTTTAAGAGCAGTTTTGAAAAAAACCATTTTTTTCAAAACCGAAAACGTGAATCGTATTTTGGACTCAATTTTCAAACGGTTTGTCGGAATTGAGCAAATAAGATGGCGTTGGAAAGCTGGTGAAAATCCGCATCTTCCATATATGTATTGTTTTTTCTAATTCTATATGATTTAAAAGTAATTTAAAAAACAGTTTAATTCTGGACGAAACGTATTTTCGCGATTTTTTTGCAAACGGTTTGTCAGATTGACGCAAATGATACGGCATTGGAAAGCTATGTAAAATGCGCAACTTTTTCGTATAGAAATATTTTTCTAATTCCTTACGGTTTAAAAACGAATTCGAATACGGTCAAATTTGATTTTGAACGTGATTTTTTTAAAAAGTTTATCGAAATATGGCAAATAATATACCGTTGGATAGCTATAAAAAATGCGAAACTTAGTCATGTTGAACATTTTCTCTACTTCGCAACCGTTTAAGAGTAATTTTGAATACGACATGACGGTTCCTGCTGTTTTCTCGTGTGAAAAACAGAGTAGTCGTACTGATATATATGTACATTTGTACTGAGCTATTTTTTTAGATTAATTTTGAATGGTTTCGAAAAAGGGTATTTGTACTGATGCTTGCATGGGTTTGTACTAAGCATGTTTTCACTAACTAGACTTTGCTCTGTTTTTTTGCTAATATTTTTCTCGTAAGTTTTCAACGGTTTACTGTATCGTCGCCTCTGTACTTGTATGGTTTGTATCATCGAACTGAATGATATTTTATTTAAAAAGAAAATGTGTTTGTTTTGTTTCCTTTTTTAACTCAACATTTTTTTGACAACGTTGTTCTGAACTTCTCTCATTTTACGACTTGTACTGAGGTACTTACTAAGCAGGATTTTCATGGGGTTTCTTTTTTTGCTTGAATTTTACAATTTGAATTTCTGTCATTTCTTTTATTCCGAACGGACCATCGTTTTTAACTCATACTGAGGTGCTTACTACGCCCGAACTGGGGTGGCTGTCGCGTGTCTCGGCGTGTTTTGAACTCGGTGATATTTTTTCATCAATTTACTGCCCATTTTTTCATCACACTTGAGAGTGATTAATAGGTTTACTTACTGGCCAGTAACACATGAACTCCTCAGGCAATAATACATGAACTCCTCGGGGAAGGGGTGCGGGGCGGCACGTTGGAGGGAGGGACTGCGGGGCTGCGCGCTGCGCGCTGG